TTATCCAGTATTATAACTTTGGATTAGGTATAGCAAAACGCTTCAAGTTCTATTATGAAAAATCATATAATATAAATAACGCTAATAGTGAAGTTAAAAAAGAAATTGAAAAACAACTTCCTGATGGTACTTCTGAAACTACTATTCGGAAAAGAAAAGAAAGAGCCCAAAAGATTTTCCACCTCTTTAGTAAGATAGAAATGGATAAAATAGGACGAGTGAAGTCTTTTTCTGCAATGACAATTGCTAAATTAACCGTGTAATATCTCAAATTCCAGATATAACCCCAATCGTATAAGTCACGTGGACGTGACCTCGAAGGTCACACTCACGTGACTACTGCGCCATATATTAAATTTAATGTAATAATTTTCAGTCCATGTACGTAAAGTTTTGCGTTCTATATAAAAAATGAAATTAGTTATATGGTACAAAAATGTTTATATTTGGTATATAAAAAAATTCTCTATGTATAAATAATCCCGGCTTATGCAAAAATTATTTGTGGGTGAGGGCGCAATTGCCACATATTATTGACCACGTTATATTTTTTCTGTTAACGTATAACAATGAAAAAATATCCGAATAACATACTCATACGTAAAGATAAACAAAATTATATCGAGAAGTGGCATATCTATAGAGGGTGGAAGCGCGGGTGTAAGGTTTGTGACGAATGCAATCATCATTCACACCTGTATTGCAAAACATGCAAAAAGGTGGCGGATGGAATATATGGGGTCTGTAAATGTGAAAATTCTCGAATAATTAATGTTAAATAAAAATAAGCGAAGGCATAGACACAAGCACCACACAGGTTTGTATGATAAAAAAATTTGGCGTAGATATGGAATATACGAGTGGAATTCGTTAATTTTTCTTTAATAAAGTACTGTACATTAGTGAGATATAATATGACGCAGGACTCGCATTGTATAGTCATATGTTTCACTTATGTCTACCGCTAAATTTAATAAATCCATCTCGGATATGCTTTATTTGACATTAAATCAGCTATATTGTATTGAAGTATATATGATTCTTGCTAATATTCTATACAATCTAAGGAGACTCGTGGAAATTTTGTCCGTTTGCATAGATCTTCGCCATCAACAAATTTTCTTTTACTAGTTTCGCGTTCATCGATAATGCCTTTTGCAATTTTTGGACCCACCCCATCTATGACTCTCAACTCAAAAAATTTTGCTGAATTAATGCATATTTTATCGTGAGCTACAAAAGAGAGAATTTTTTTAGTACAAATTGAAAAAAGAAAATACCGAATTCATTAAGCTATAATATATGACTTACCGGCAGAAAATTGGGCCCGAGATGAATATATCTTTCCGTAAAACTTTTTAAAATTATTTTTTTCGACAATTGCGCATCTTCTTGGTAGTAGATTTTTGTTAAATGTACTTGAACAATTTGACAGGATTAACAATAGCCATTTATCCAACCCAATCCTCCTTGCGACATCCTCAACTCTGCTATATTCTTTATTAACCAAATTATCGTTAATTATTTGCGGATTCTCTGATTCCAGGTCTTGCCACTTCATTTGTAATGCCAATAAAATTGGTTGTCCGCAATTGGTTATTAGAAAAGAAAATCCGTCGAACTCTGCACCTCCTCCATTTTTATAAATCTTATTATTATCATTATACGAAATTTTACACGATTGACCATCAAAATCTAAAACACAATCATCGGATGGGTATCGTCTACTAAGATAATGCACTTGAACTAAATTATGATCGGGAATATTCACATCCACATCCATATCTACATCTGAATGCAATGCGCCCTTTAGCAGTTCCTTTAACTTTATTGTTTTGTATCCAAGTACTGAAAATAAGCATATACGTAGGGCCCAAAAATTAATGTTGAATTTTTCCCATTGTTGCCAATAAAATTGTTCTTCAGGGTTAATCATCAAATCCCAAAATTTATAAATTGATCGATCACCAGCTTTTTTAATCAAAAGCCACATCCAAAGATATGGGAGACGTATATAAAACCTTGTATAAATTTTATCAGCTGGTTCGAGTGTCAAAATTCCAAGAGATTTCAACGTTTTGTATGAAACATGTTGTTTTTTATTTTCGTCCATGTAAATACCATCATCCTCATCAACCGATCTTTCTAGAATAGCATTCGCAAGTACTGGGGTAATTTTACTTGCAAAAGTTTTAAAGTCATATCGCGAATGTAACTTTCCCTCAAGTAAGTGCATGATGTTCACCAAATCGATATCTTCCAATTTATTTGTTTTCGTTTCATTCCAAATTAATTCATAGAATATTTCCAAAGCACGCACCTGACCACCTATATCAGTAATAATACGTCTGAAAAGATTATTTTTATAGACAAAAGACTCATCAAAGCCAAGGTTACATGCTATTAATAGCATATGAGATGTATCCAGTAATTGTAATGGCAACTGAAGAGCTTGGTGCATAGATTTAGTAATTACTGACTGGAGTGGACCCTCAACTGTTCCTGCCAAGATTGGAACGAAAAAAATAGTTGAGTCGCAACTCATTGTACCAATGCAGGCTATAAGACGCCGAAAAACATCTCGATTCTCGTCATATAGTTTGTTGACTTCATCAATGCCAACAATAATTGCAAGCTTCTCCATATTTCCAACATCTTTACGCTTATTTTCATATATAGTATATAAAGCAAGAGACAACGTTAGTTGTTTTGCATTTTGTCCAACAATGTCCCTAAATTTGAGATAGTCTATATGATTATGTACAAAGTAGATGTATAAGATCCTTAGTGCTAATGAAGCTTCTGCACCAATATCTACGTCAAAATCTGAAAATGCAGATCCATTTCCATATGTAACGTTCAGAAAAATTGCTTCTCCCAGTATTGATTTAATATTATCATCAAATGATGATTGTGCTTTTTCACGAACAATATTATGAATCTCTTGCAAAAACCGACTTTTTCCTGTACCAGGACCGCAACCAAGAAATGGAATTGGGTGAAAATTGCGATCCTTCTTTGGACTTGCACTACAATAGTTTTTAAACCGGTTTAGAATTCCATAACTATTGACTACGTCGCCATCCCAGAGGGTATTTATGGTGTTTTCACGACCACATAAAGTAAATTGTGCACCAAATGATTCAACAAGCAATGCTGGTTTCGCTCCAGTCGGGCTGTAGTTTTGTATCCATACTAAAATCGAATGCGAATCTTCCAAATTAACTTGAAAATCGGTGATATTACTTCGTGAACTAATATGAGGTACGGCTATAACAAATTTAAAGACATGCAATTCATATAACGGGGTTAGTTGCAGAATATTAATGGGGTGGAAAAGAACGAGACTCATCCACTGAGCAAGTGCTAATTTGTTCTTGCAAAGAGGTAAACACTTACCAGTGGTAATAGGCGTTTGCACGATGACATGAATGTGCTCCTCTGGAAGTTCATTCGGGAAACAATTAGTAATATTCCAAAGCGGGAGTAACTCCTCACCACCGAGTTCTTGTTTAACATCAATTTTTTCATGAGGCCTATCCCTAAGTATTTTTAGCTTATCGTTATCTTCTCTGGTAGAAATATTAACCTTCCATATCCTCAGGTCATCGGGTTCGACGTTTTCGAATATTTTCTCTCTATTCTTTTTAATCGCTTCCTTGAAATGAGAAACGGTCTTGATTTCGTCATTATGGATGTCAAACGTGAAGGAGGTACCTACGCCTAAAACAAAACAACCTAGCATAATATCGGCGCACCTACAAATCGAAAATTGAGATTAAATCGCTAATTTTTCGGTAAAATATAAAGTAACCACCTTAGCTGAGTAGACATTTGTATATCGCCAAACTGGTTTGTGGCTTGTTATGAAAAAAATCAATGCGATAAATTTTTTGGCAAGTTGGGTAATATTTATATAATGAATTTTTAGGTCACACGATTGATCCATATGAAAATCAACGGACAGTCGTACAGGGACCCGGATAAGAATTTTTTTAGATATCTGCTGATTACATATAGTTGAGATTTTTTAGCTTCGAAGTAGGCAAAAATTGGAACAGACACACGTTTTTATTTTGAATATAACCGCATTTTATGTAAAACAATGGCAGATTCACAAACTACAATTGCTTTGTTAAGAGAATTAAATTCTAAACTTACACTCGAGATTGCCGAACTTAGAAAGAAGTATGCTAAGGTTGAGGAGAATTAAAGCAGATTATAGAAGAGAATACTGAATTTAAGACTAGATTTGAGGAACAAGATAGGAAAAATAAAACAGATATTGCACACCTTATAAACGAGAATACTGAACTCAAATCTAGGGTTTTGAAATTGGAACAAAGGTCATCACAAAATGACAAAGAAAAAAGCAACCTTATTGCTAAATTAGATGATAATGCTACATCTTACAAAACGAATTTTGATGATATTTCTCCTGAACACAGAGAAAGTATATCCGACAATATTTCTAATTCTGATATATACCAGGAGTCGAATATTCAATACTCTAAACCACATATTCGTACAGAGTCTGAATCTTCTGAAGATAAAGAGATCAAGTTTCTGAATCGGGTACATAAAGGAATTGTTAGCAATGAAATAAGAGAGAGAAATCGAGAAAAGAAGCTCCAAGCCCAAAACTCTTTATCATATGATAAAGATCATTTATCATGTGATATAAAAACCGTTTCCCCGGGAAACGATCATGACAATATTGAACGTAGTGTAGATACTACTTCCCAAATAAATGATCAGCAAAAGACTATTCCGAATACTCCTTTACCGATGGAAAATCTTGATGATTCTGATGAAATTGAGCTTACTAAAAATCAAAATATAGAACTAGATTTAATACGAGATTTGCAGAATTGTATGCTTATTGCTTTACCTGATCCCATAGAAATACCTTCCAAAGACATCATAGATAATGAAAAATCATCCTCTAAAATTACAACACAAAGCTTGATCCATTTATTTAAGAAAGCAATACGATCTGGGCATCAAGAAATTTTATCCTGGATTTGCTATTCTGATAATTTTGAGAATAAAGTTATTGAAATTCGACATAAGGCAAGAGTTAACGATAAAACTGCAAGAACCAAAATGTATAAAGAAATGTTAGAACATTTACCAGGTGTTACATCGGTTGCTTTGTGAATTAAAACTCTTAGGGCCGGAAAAATTCGTAAGCTATTTGGAGAAAATGGAGTTGAAATTGATAAGGTTAAGTATGTTACCTGCAGTGCAAATGATATTTCAAAATTAACCAATACACAAATTCAAAACATTACAAATCAAGTAACCTCAAAAACCGTTTCCCAAGGAAACGATCAAAATAATGTGACCGAAACAGAGGTAAGTGTTACAACCACACCCTCTATCCTGTTGTCTCATACATCTAATTCAGAAGATATGATAAATGAGGATGATAAATCTTTACCGTAGACTGAAATAAGCACATCATCTAATCCAACCCGTAATCATGTTTATTTCCATAATAAAACATTAAAGCAATATCCTAATTTATATCAAGAAGGTAGTGATAGAAATGATGATTATTATGGAATTACTGATGAATCTTTATGCCTGCTATGTAAGTTAAATCATGACAATGAAAATGGTATAGAAGGCAGATATAAAATTGGATCTTATAATCTTAAATGTGAACAACATAGAATTGAAGTTAAGGTAACAGCATAAACTCTGCCTTCTCGCAATATTTGCTCGAAGCCAGAAAGTAAGTGATCACTATATGTACTTACATTTAAACAGAAGCTAATCACTTTTTTTTTCTTTTTTTGAATTTATAAGAAAAAAAGGCTCTGAGGCATATTTATTTTTGTCTGCTATTGTTAATTTAAAGAAATATGCAATTATATAAAATGGCAATATGAATACACAGGCAAAAGCCAATAAAACATTAACTCCCGAATATTTGGAGTGGGAAGCTAAATTAACAGAATTGCCAAGCCCTTTGACAGATAATATTCGTTCTAGATTATATAAAAGATATAAGAAAAAAACTGGACTCGATCCTTGGATAAACTCTAAAACTTCTGAACTCACCCAAATTGTAGATAACAAAAATGAAACGGAGGTACGCATATTACCTCTCAATTCTTGTTTTCCAATTTCTATCTTACCCGATGATCCAGAAGAAAAACAAAATCTTGTTATTTATACCACATTGGAGCAATTCAATAATTTATCGCTTAAATATAGTATTAAAAATAGCAATTATTATGATTATTCAGGAATATGTCCTTTATGCAATAGAGATCATAAAGAAAGTATATGGAAAGATTTAAAAGGTGAATGGGGTTCTGGTAATTATTATGGCGAAAAAATGTATCACCTCTATTGTTGTAAGAGAACTTTTAGTGGAATCCCCATAGTAAATGTGAAAGCGTAGAGGAGGCATCATGTAGACTATAATAAGTAAAAGTTTTATTTTAACCCAATAAAATCCTGACCAATTTACACAATCGTATAAAAATAAAATTTGGTGAGGGTGTAAACCCCCACTTCTTTATTTAATATTTTTTTTTGCCGGAATGACAATATACAAATATATATTTTTATTATATAATAAAAAAAATATATGCCTCTTAACAGGTCAGGTTAGTGGGATTTACATTTGATCTAACGCTTCTTGAGCATCACGAGGATTCATATCACTCCAATCATCATTTTCTATACGTCTTCTTAAAGATGCCTCCGAAATTGGTGTTCAGTGATTACCTCTCTCAATATATTCTTCATTGTCTAGTAAGATGCCATAGTTCGAATTATCTAATTTAAATGAAATTCTACTTCATAAGTATTTGTATGCTTCAAGTATATCTAAAAAGGTGGAATTTTACTTACCACTTCTGTTTCTCCTATTATTGCGTGAATTAGGAGTCCTTTGGCTAGGTCTTGGATTGGGCAGTGTTGGGGGGATATAATATGTCTCGGAGGGGTTATTGTTATTAGTTGTGGAGGTGGTGGTGTTATTACTCGTGGTGGTGCTATCATTGGTCTTGGTGGTGCTATTGTTACTGCTCATTTTTCGTACCTAAATATATACAAAATTTATAGTAAGTAAAATTCGATTTCATAGTTTCTATAAAATAAAATAACACCAATTACTTTTAAAAAAAAATGCAGGCAAGTAAATCAAGTAAAAAATATATGAGCAAAAATAACGTTATTTGCTAACTTATCTTAAGGTAGAAACTTGCTTATTTATACTGTCCATTCGCTAAATCTAAAAAACCTGCCAGAAAAAAAGTTACACAATTAGTAATTGCGGTAGGTAACGCAATCTAGATCCCACCATGTAAAGCAAGTCTACTCGGTCATAAGTTCCAAATACTGAATCTATTTTGTCGCTTTTCTGGTGAAATTAAACCCCTTTAGATTCGACGATCGCTCCTGCGAAGTGAAAAAGTTAACAATCCCGGCAATCTGTAAATTCCAAGTTCCTGCAACATATGAAATTTGACAATATCACTGATAAAAAAAGTTGTACTCTTTCCTATTATAGCCCTTTTAAGTTCCATTTGCACTTTTTCTTATCGCAGTATCATATATAATAAGAGCTTTCTAGATATTCGTTATCAAAAATCGACCGTGAGAAATTAATGTAACATCGCATAAAATTTAATGCTGGCCATTGATTATTAAAGCCGGTAAACTTTTTATCTGATAAATATGAATATTAAATTTTCGCTATTTTAGCTTCGACCTAGGCCAAAATAAAAGCGGACCCGTGGGACCATTGAGTCATATGATAGTATGACAAATATGTACATACTTTATTTTTTCAGCACATATCGCACTTTGGTAAAAAAAAAATAGTGATGCTAGATGTTGGATCAACATGGTTTGTTATAACGAAGTGCATACCGGTTATTCTAAATTTGTAAATCAGGCTTAAATATAGCGTGTAAAATTATTATCGTACCCCGTATAAGTATACCTGTCTAATCCCAAATATGGAAAATGTACGATTGTTGGCGTGTTTAATAATTGTGGTGCCGAATATAGTAAATATGTAATTGTTTGTTAGCATAGAATTATCGTGTTAAATTATTATGGCGCAGAATAAGAATTGTTAGTTGACTCGTGTTGAATTATCGTAATGCCGAGTCATTTATATCGTATATACTGCTTCATGTCAGATTGTTGTCTACTGAACCACAGAACATGAAATAAATTATAATCTCTAATAAAAGGCCATTTTTAAAATGAAGCTCTGCTTTGATTTTGTTTGTTTTTCAAAATACCTTAATATTTTTTCATAACAATAACAATTTCTTACTTGTGTCATCACTATATTATTGCAAAATTCTTCAATTATTTTTTCAAAGTTCTTCAAGAGAATTCTATGTAAAAAAAACTACATGTTATGAAAAAAGCTAAAATTGAAGTTCTCAATAGTTCCACTAGAGAAGATAATTCCACATCTAATTCTAACGTTAACCAGATCGAAGAAAGAACAAATATACTTTATGATCCTTTAAAAGTATGTAACTAACTTACGCTATTTTTTGTTGTTGTCAAAGGTGTGGTTGCCAAGTTATTATTGTCCTTTAGTAAGGATAGGGAGATCCGACAAGCTCCCCGCGGTTTAAACCACTGAGCTATTGGATAAGAAGTAATTTGTGTGTACCTACCCTAAAATCAATATAGACATACGCCACTCAGTTAATTTAATGTTCACATATTAATCGTATTTTATTAAAGCACAAAACACAA